GAATATAGCTGAGAGTAAAAGAATGAATAAATAGGTTATGCAACAAGGGAAATCCATTACATTGGTGCCCGAAAAGCTCAGAGTAAGAGGTGATATTGTCTCTTAACTCAATTAAACCAAATGCCAGAAAGAATGAAGCCATATGTTGCCAAGACTACTCCTACTTTTGGAACCTGAGAAGGTCAAATAGAAGTCTGCAAACCTGAGTGATATTGTTCTGGGAGATGAATGTGCCAATATCTTTTGAGTATTTTATTTTGGAAAGAACACTTAACAAGACATCTACTCTCTTGACAAATTTTAAATGTACAGTATATTATGTTGACTATAGGTATGGTGTTGTATGCAGATTACATCTACTATCATGTTATAATATGGTGTAACACTGCCGTTGTTGCTAAGACTATATTTATATTGATGGTCAAATACATGGGGAAATTGAGTTAAAGACTTTTCAGGATATAACACTGATGGCAAATGACTAGCTTAAGGAAGAATTGGATTTAGCTAACCATCAGCTAATCTCTATGCTAAATAGTTCCACACAAGTTTATCATAAGGTATAAATAGAGGTAGATCAGAGAGGAAGAGTAATAAAATTGGTATAAAAATATGAAAATGCATGTAATGGCTTTACAGGATGGATTTGAATTATTGAAACTGAGGGTGAACCCTTGAACTTGCAGTTGGTGTCAGAGTGAGGACAGTCTTGTGTGGGGACTGTTCCAACTTCTGCCCAAGATAAGCATACAAACATCAATTGCTTTTCTATATACTAGTAATTAACAATAAGTAATTGAAATGAAAAATGAATACTACACAATAAAGTGGAAATAAGACAACACCAAGTAAAATAGCATCAAAATGTGAAATAGTTAGGGAATAATTTGTCAGATGTGAAAGACCTGTACACTGAAAATTACAAAATATTGTTGAGAGAAATTAAAAAGAGAGATATACCTGATTTATGGGTCAGAAAACTCAGTATTGTTAACATTTCAATTCTCCCCAAATTGGTCTATAGATTCAAACCAACCCCAGTAAAAATCACAGCAGCTTTTTTTGTTGTTGAAATGAACAAACTTATTCTACAATTTATATGGAAATGTAAAGGACGTAGAATAGCCAAAACAACTCTGGAAAAGAAACAACTTTATTGAGGTATAATTTAGGATCCATATTTAAATTGTACAGTTCAATGACCTTTTTAAAAAAAACAAAAGTTTATTCTTAAATGTACAACAGGCTCCAAGACAACACTTCATTCTAGATATGGGTGGCAACAGATGTTATGGCAGGGAACCCAGATGTTTAAACAGGAATGGAATTAAGGATCACCTCAATGACTTTTATTAAATTTACCTAGTTGTGCAACCATCATCACAATCAAGTTCTGTAACATTTCAATCACCCCAATAAGATTCCTTGTATTAATTAACAGTTAATGACGATTCCCATTCTCACACCCAGACAACCACTAATCTACAGATCTCTGTATTTTACTTTTGTGGACATTTCATTTAAATACAATAGGCAAATACAATACTAGATCTTTTGTGTCTCACTTCTTTCACTTAGCATGTTTTTGAAGTTCATCCATAGTTGAACAGTTCACGCTGTAGTATTTATTAGTATTTGTTCTTTTTTATTGCTGAATATACCACATTTTGTTTATCTACTTGCTGGTTGATGGACATTTGGATTGTCTCCACTTTTTGTCTTGTATGAATAATGCTGTTATGAATATTCAAGTGTAAGTGTTTGCACGAAAACATTACATATCTTTTGGGTAGATAATGGGAATGGCAGTACTGGGTCCTCTGGTAAATTTATGATCAACTTTTTAAGAAACTGCCAAACTTCTCCAAAATGGCTATACCATTTTAATGCAGTCACACCAGAAATGTAGGAAAGTTCCTGATTTTCCATATCCTTGCCAACATTTATTATAATTGTTTTTTTTTATTTTAGCCGTTTTAGTACATATAAAGTGGTATTTCATTGTGGTTTTAGTTAGAATTTCTCTAATGACTAATGATGTTGGGCATCTCTTCATGTGCTTATTTGTATATATTTTTTGGTGAAATATCTCTTCAAATCTTCAGCCTAATTTTAAACTGGGTTGCTTGTCCTCTTTTTATTGAGTTGTAAGTGTTCTGTATATATTCTGGATACAAGTCCTTTATCAGGTAAATGATTTACAAGTGTTTTCTCCCTGTCTGTGCTTTGTCTTTTCATTTTCTTAATGGTACCTTTTGAAGTTTAAACCTTTTTCATTTTGATGAAGTCTAATTTATCATTTTTTCTTTATGGATCATGCTCTTGGTGTCCTACTTAAGAATTCCTTGCCTAGTACAAGGTCACAGATATTTTTCTCCTATGTTTTCTGCTAAAACTTTTATAGTTTTAGCTTTCATATTTACATATCTGATCATTTTTTTGTTAATTTTTAGTATGGTGTGTAGATTTAAATTCATCTTTTTGCATGTGGATATGTAATTATTCTTGCACCAAATGTTGAAAAGACTTTTCTTTCCCCAATGAATTGCCTTCACACTTTTGTAAAAAATATTTTTACCGTAAGTATCAGGGTTTATTCCTAGACTCTCTGTTCTGTTCCATTGATCTATGTCTCTATCCCCATGCCAGTACCATACTGTCTTGATTACTGTAGTTTTCTGGTTTTGAAATTGGGAGGTTACTGTCCTTCCACTTTGCTTTTTAGCAAATTCCTGTTTGCTAATCTTGGTCTTTTCTATTTCTATATAAATATTAGGATTAGCTTATCAATTTCTGGGGAACAAAGTCTGCTGGAAATTTGATAAAGTTGTATTGAATTTGTAGATCATGTGATTTTTCCTCTTTACCTTGTATATATAATATGGTAGATTGCGTTGACTGATTTTTGAATGTTGAAGCAGCCTTATATCACTGGAATAAACCCCACTTGGTCATGATGTATAATCCTTTTATATGTTGCTGGATTCATTTTGCTAATATTTTGTTGAAGATTTTTACATCTATGTTCATGAGGAATGTTGATCTGTAGTTTTATTTTCTTGTGATATGTTTGTATGGCTTAAGTATCAGGGTAATACTGGCCTCATAGAGTTGGGGAGTGTTCCTTCCTCCTCTATTTTCTGAAAGATTTTGTGGAGTGTTGATATTATTTCTCCTCAAATGTTTAATGCAATTAACCAGTTAAACCATCAAGCTTTGGGCATTTTTGTGTGGAAAGATTTAAAGTTACTAATTGCTTACTATTGCTGGTGAGATGTAAAATGGTACAGTCACATGAGAGCCATGCCTGGGTTTCAGATCTGAGATATCAGTCAACTGTCTTGGGAAGATGGTGAGATTGGAGGATAAGGAAAGAAAAATTAAATCACACTGAGATATCACTATACATCCACCATAATGGCTACAGTAAAAATGATGGAAAATACCAAGTGTTGACAAGGATGTGGAGCAAATAGAACTCATATACTGTGCTGGTGGGAGTGTACATTGGTGAAGCCATTTTGGAAAACTAGTTTTATAAACTAGCTGAGCATGAACACCATATAGCCTGGCAGTTCAACTCCTAGATATATACCTAACAGAAGTTCATAAATATGTTCACCAATAGACAGGTACTAAAGTATTTATAGTAGCACTATTCCCAATAGCCCCAAGCTGCAAACAACACAAATGTCCATTAATAACAGAATGGATAAATATATTGTAGAGTATTCACAGAATGGAATAAAACATGACAATAAGAATGAATTATCCATAACTACATTCAACAATATGGACAAATCTCATATTTACAATGTGAATGAAAGAAGATAGACACTTAAGAGTATATTACCAAAATATGCAATATAATTGTTTGACTCAATTTATATAAAATACCAAGCAGACAAAGCTATTTAAGTCAGGGTAGTGTTCACCTGGCGGGGTAGGTGGACAGTAAGGCCTGGAAGGGAGCACAGGGAGTTTTTCTGGGGTGCTGGTCATGTTCTGTTTCTTGATCAGTGTTCAGTTTGTGAGAATTCATTGAGCTGTATGCTTATGGTATATGCATTTTCTGTATGCATACTTTAATAAAAAGGTTTAAAAACAAAATAAAATTACATGCTAAAAAGAAAGCCCCTTTCTTATGAGTATTGCAAAAAACATTTAATTGAAATCAAGAAAGCATTTATATATCAGTGCTTTAAAAAAAGCAGTGTTCTTTCTAGAGAAGTCTTCCAGTTATTCAACTATAATAAACTATAATCATATCTTAGGCTAAAAAACTACAATGCAACATGACTTTATCCCATAGCAATGTACACAAAATTACTCTTAATGTGCATGTAGGAAATGAATATATCAAATTAACTAAATTGGAAGAAAAACCACCAAAGTTTTATGTATTGAAATCCAATTTCTTAACCATTGTTTTTCAAACAGAAATCCCAAAGAAAGCAGAAGCTTCAGTGGATGAGATGGGAAGTCCAGAGTGTTGTGGCTCAGTTTCATTGTCTTAGGGTCAGTTACTAAGGGGATAAGAAGTTTATGGTCTGCAGCTTACATAAATGATAGCTTTTTTGATACAGGTTAGAAGGTATGCCTACCATTTTCGAGTGTGAATCACCTGCTGCCACAGCATAGAATTAATGAGGGAACAATTGCCACCTTTAGGTGTGTGTAACATTTAATAACTCTATTCCTGTAACACAGGCTAGAGCTATGCTTAATTTGCCAATGCATAAAGTCAGACTTTAAGTTTAAAAATTATATTTAATTTTTAAAAAATATACCATGGTGACTTCTCAAAGGGAAGAGAAAGAACGGTTCTCAGGGCAATATTTTCTGTGTCTTAAATGTCAATGATAAAAAAAACTTCTGGCTTCTACGCATAGATCTATTATACATTCCCAAATTGGTTTTTGCCTTGACTTCAGTGCCCTGGAGGTGTTTGAACAATGAATACTCTTCTCCCCACCCTAGAAAGTTGAAAAAAAAAATGGCCAGTATTAAGGACTTTTACATCCCAAGGTATGAAGGACAAATCTGTGCTGAATTTATAAAGCCCTTTATCCAAAAAGTGAAACATAGGAGATTACAAGTCATCTCCTGGGGTCTCTATTTCTACCATTTGCAGGAGATTGAGAGTACCTGTGTGAATCATAAAACCAAACAGGGCTATTGCTCAAATGCTTTATTGAAGTGTCTCCCTATGCATATAATTGCATATCAACTTGTATTCCACCTGACTGAAGGATACTTGGCTTTGTTTGCCTTCTGTTCACTTAGGCTGTTTGTAGTCCATCATATCTACTCCCCCTGCACAATGATTGATGCATCAGGCACTCCTCATCTCTCCACTATGAGACAGCTGATGCATATCCAGTTGTGATTTCCAGCTGAAGGCATTTTCAGTCACTGGCTTTATAGAGTTTTTCTCCACTATGAGTTTTCTGGTGTTTAATGAGATTTGACCTGTCAGTGAAGGCCTTCTGACATTCTGTACAAGCATAAGGTTTCTTCCCTGTATGAATTATCTGATGCAAACTTAGTGTTGCTTTCTGGATGAAAGCTTTCCCACATTTACTGCATTCATAGTGTCTCTCTCCAGTATGAGATTTCTGATGGATAGTGAGGCGTGATTTCCAGGTGAAGGTCTTTCCACAGTCACTGCATTTATAGGGTTTCTCTCTAGTATGGATTTTCTGGTGTGTTATGAGATTTGACCTGTCAGTGAAGGCCTTTCCACATTCAGCACATATATTGGGTTTCTCTCCTGTGTGAATCTTCTGATGCACCCGGAGTTGTGACTTCTTTGTGAAGCATTTTCCACAGTCATTACATTCATAAGGCTTCTCTCCAGTATGAATTCTATGATGTGCAATGAAGTGTGATTTCTGGATGAAGGCCTTCCCACATTCAGGACAAGCATAGGGTTTCTCTCCTGTATGGATTCTCTGATGCACACTGAGTGTTGATTTCTGGATAAAGGCTTTCCCACATTCATTGCATTCATAGTGTCTCTCTCCAATATGAGATTTCTGATGTATTTTGAGGCGTGACTTCCATATGAAGGCCTTTCCACAGCCATTGCATTTATAGGGTTTCTCTCCAGTATGAGTTTTCTGGTGTTTAATGAGATTTGACTGATCACTGAAAGCCTTTCCACATTCGGCACACATATACGGTTTCTCTCCAGTATGAGTTTTCTGATGTGTAGTGAGATTTGTCCTATGAGTAAAGACCTTTCCACATTCTGTACATATATAAGGTTTTTCTCCTGTATGAATTCTTTGATGCACATGGAGTTGTGATTTCTTAATGAACGATTTCCCACAGTCACTGCATTCATAAGGTTTTTCTCCAGTATGAATTCTCTGATGTGTATTGAAATGGGATTTCTGGATGAAGGCCTTCCCACATTCAGTGCATACATAAGGTTTCTCTCCTGTGTGAATTCTTTGATGCATCCTGAGTGCTGATTTTCTTGTGAAGGCTTTCCCGCATTCACTGCATGCATAGTGTTTCTCTCCAGTATGAGTTTTCTGATGTATATTGAGGTCAGAATTCTGGGAGAAGCCTCTTCCACATTCACTGCATTCATAAGGTTTTTCTCCTGTATGAATTCTCATATGTCTAAAGAGATATGATCTGTGGAAAAAGGCTTTTCCACATTCACTGCATTTATAGGGTTTCTGCCCAGTATGAATTTTCTGATGTGTAATGAGGTTTGACCTGAGTGTAAAGGCCTTCCCACATTGAGTACATATAAAAGGTTTCTCTCTTGTGTAAACACTTTGAGGTACCTCAGTTTGCGGCTTCTGAGTGAAGACGTTCTCACGCTTGTTGCATTCATGGGATTTTTCTCCAGCATGAATTCTCTGATGCTCAAAAAGATGTGACTTTTGGGTGAACGTCTGTATGTATTGAGTACACACATAAAGTTTCTCTTCAGTATGAATTTTCTGATGGTGGGTGAGAACTTGTTTGTGGCCAAGATGTTTTTCACATTGATGAAGTTCACAGGAGCTTGCTCTTGTATTAGCATTCTCATTCTTAGTAGAAGAAGAGCTATGGGCAAAATTGTTACCATTTCTAAAAATTTTATCAAAGTTCTTTGTTGCATTGCTTTTATTATGATTATGTAAGTTTAAAGTATGCTTCAAACTCTTTCCAAATGTGTCATAGTTATGGAGTCTTTTAATGGAAGGAACAAGCCTGGTACTCACGTGAATTATTTTTTCAATGTTTTTACATTCATAGCCCCTCTCCTTAATCAACACTTTCACATGACTTAAAGGGTTATTTTGGTTTTCTTGATATCTCTCTAGCCGGTCATTATCTTGCCACAGTTCTTCTACAATGGAACACAATGAATCTTTTCCTATGGACTGACCAAATTTCTCACAGTGTAATGAAACTTCTCCAGAAATTCTCTGTTGTTGGGTTTGCCCATTATCCTCATCTAAAAAGAAAGAGAAAAAAATGAAAATGACTCCAGAACAATTATCAGAGAATAGAAGGTATATGGAGTTTGGACAGGATGAACAGAGAAATGGAAGAGTCCTTATGACAATAATGCAAATAGTAATATGAAATTCTTCTAGAACACTCTATGCAAAACAGTTATATACCATTTATGATGCACCAGGCACTTCCAAGTGCTTTACACAAAGCAGCTCATTTAATCTTCACTAAACTCTAAGAGGTAGCTATCATTATCAATCATGTTTCACAGATGAGAAAACAGAAGCACAGAGAAATTACGTAACTTGCTGAAGATCAAATAGCTAAATAGGGCTTCCCTGGTGGCGCTGTGGTTGAGAATCTGCCTGCTAATGCAGGGGACACGGGTTCGAGCCCTGGTCTGGGAGGATCCCACATGCCACAGAGCAACTAGGCCTGTGAACCACAACTACTGAGCCTGCGCATCTGGAGCCTGTGCTCCGCAACAAGAGAGGCCGCGATAGTAAGAGGCCCGTGCACCGCGATGAAGAGTGGCCCCCACTTGCCTTGCACAGAAACGAAGATGCAACACAGCAAAAAAAAAAAACAAAACTTAATTAAAAAAATAGCTAAATAAATAAAAGATGGGATTTGAACCTGAGAATCTATATCCACTATGTAGGAAGTCAGGGCAGTGAGTAGAGTAACCAGAAGAAGAAACTGAAGTCTGTTAAAGGTAAGCCTGAATGGAAGAAATATTTCAGAATGTATGTCCTTATTACATATTAGGTCTAAAACATTAATAATCTCTCTGCTTCCTCTTGCTTTTCCCTCTGAACCATTATGAGCATGTACATTAAATTTATAGTCCTCAAATACCAATTCCTCTATATCTATAGGAAAAATATATGCTTTCAACAAGTGTCAAATAGGAGAGGGCAAACCATCTATGGCAGAAACTGCAAGCCATCCACCAAAATCTATTCACCTCTTCTTTTATAGTAATAGAACATAGCTGGGCATTACGTTTACCAGTCTCACTTTGTCCTCACCAGTGGAATATGAGCAGAAGTGATATGTACCACTCCTAGGCCAGGCTTTAAGACAGTGGGCAAATCTCCCCCATTCCCCCTTCCCCAGCCCAGAGGACTCAACAATGACCCAACATCAACCACCCAACAGAGAAATGGAAGAGTCCTTATGACAATAATGAAAATAGTAATATGAAATTCTTCTAGAACACTTACTCTATGCAAAACAATTATATACCATTTATGATGCACAACAATACTCTAGGAGATGGCAGAGCAATAACTTGGAACATGGTCCTTGAATGACCCAAGATCAGAGTTGATTTGTTGAATGCACCCATTCACCTGAGAATGCTTATGTAAGAGAGGATACAGTTATACTAAGCTTGTTGCTTTGCTCCTCTGTGCATATTCAGAAGGTATTGTCCTTGATATCAGCTCTAATTTTAGTACACCTCTAGGGAGGTTATATCTGCTATGAATGTATAAAGCAGACACAGTACCACTCATATTGATACTAAATTTGGCACAGTTTTGTGTTATAACAGAGAGAATTAACACACAGAGCCTGAAATTATTAACATTTCATGCAATTATCTTCCCTTTCCAAATATAATCTATGGTCTTTTGAATTCTTCTGATCAAATATTTGAAGGATCCTTCTGAAAGAGAGAAAAATATCCTCCTCTGCCTATCTCCCCAAATTCAATAAATTTAAGTTTACTAAATATTTTCCATGCTTGGCTTCAGAAAACTGAAGAGTAAGTGTTACAGTTATCAATTTTTTGCCCTTCAATCCCCAATTCACCCTTCCTTGCCCGCTCTACAAAAATGGATCTGAGTCTTTTTTCCTTTGCCATCTGGCATGATGTTGAACCTTGTCAATACAGGGTGATGGGAAAACACTGGAGGAAGGGATTTTGCTTCCTGGTTCTAGTGAGCTCACTCAGCAGGCTCCTCCAGCAAGGGCAGCTTGTCTATTACCAGGCTTCAGCAGTGTGGTGGCTTTAGCAGCATCTGGCTCCTAATGCACATGCAGCTTCCCAGGCACCCAGATCTTGCAGTGCAGGTCACTTCTTTAGCACCCAGCTCCTGCCACTCATATGGCTTCCCAAGCACCCAGCTTCTGCAGTGCATTGCAGACAGAAGCACCCAGAACCCAGCAGTTTATCCTGGCACCTCTCTCAGATGGCTTGTAGTGGAATATTTCCAATGAGACACTTCCCTATGATCAGCTTTTTCTGGAACCTCAGAGGGTAGATTTCCAGTGAGTTCAACCAGTGTGGCATGACAGCTGCCATGCTGTGAGCCATGGATATGCCTTCCCTATAAGGTCTGGATTCATCCCTGGGAAGCAGGGGAGGCGCTTCCTTGGGTGTTCCTTCACAGTCTTAGAGATACTCTCCCACACTAATTTGCTATTCCTTTATTCTTTAGCGTTCTCTTTACTTTTACTGGCTAATCCCTTGTTACCTCAATCCCACAATAGCTAATAATTCTTTTTTTCAAATTTATTTATTTATTTATTTATTTATTTATTTTTGGCTGCGTTGGGTCTTCGTTGCTGCACATGGGCTTCCTCTAGTTGCAGCAAGTGGGGGCTACTCTTTGTTGCGACGCGTGGGCTTCTCATTGCAGTGGCACTAATAATTCTTTGTTACATGTTCAAATTAGTATGTGGTTTCTCTCTCCTGATTAGGTCCCAAGTTATACAATAAGAAACAGGCTCTTTTTTTTTAGTGTAAGAATGGATCTTTTTAAAAATTCTTTTTCATTATGGTTTATCACAGGATATTGAATATAGTTTCCTGTGCTATACAGTTAGACCTTGTTGTTTATCCATTCTATATATAATAGTTTGCATCTGTTAATTCCAAACTCCCAGTCCACCCCTCCCCCACTTGGCAACCACAAGTATGTTCTCTATGTCTGTGAATCTGAGAAATAGGCTCTTAATTCTGGGAGCTTTCTAAAAACTTAGAGGTAAAAAAAGCCTTAGTTACCACACAGTCTAAAATCCTATGTTTTTCTGTGAGTTCCTGTGGGATGGAGGATGAGAAAAAAGAAAGAGCCATATATTCTGGAGTAATTAAGAGCCATTTCATGAAATAGTGAAATCTGATCACAAGGTGAAAATGTATCATCTAAATAGATAGAGCACAGAATAAAGAGTCAGATTAGGGGAGCACTATCAAATATGGCAGACATCAAGAAAACATTAAAAATGCACAGCAAATGAAACAATCAACAAAATGAAAAGGCAACCTATGGAATGGGAGAAGATATTTACAAGTCATACATCTGATAAGGAGTTAATATGCAAAATATATAAAGAACATATACAGCTCAATAGCAGAAAACAAACTGATTAAAAAATGGGCAGAAGAATTGAACAGACAGTTTTCCAAAGAAGACATACAAATGGCAAACAGGTACATGAAAAGGTGCTTGATAGCAGTAATCCTCAGGGAAATGCAAGTCAAAACCACAACGAGATAACACCTCACACCTGTTAGAATGGCTTTCATCAAAAAGACAAGAGATAACAAATGCTGATGAGGGTGTGGAGAAAAGGGAACACTTGTGCACTGTTGGTGGGAGTGTAAATTGGTGCTGCTACTATGGAAAACAGTATGGAGTTTCCTCAAAAAATTCAAAAGAGACCTATTGTATGATCCAGCAATTCCACTTCTGGGTATATATCCGAAGGAATTGAAATCAGGATCTCTTAGAGATATCTGCACTCCCATGTTCATTGCAGCATTATTCACAATAGCAAGATATGAAAACAACCCAAGTGTCTGTCCACACTGAATGGATAAAAAGATGTGGTATATATATACAATGGAATATTATTCAGCCATGAGAAAGAAGGACATTGTGCCATTTGCTACAACTTGTCTGAACGTTGAGGGCATCATGCTAAGTGAAATAAGTCAGAGAAAGACAAATACTGCATGGTATTATCACTTGTATGTGGAATCTAAGAAAGCCAAACTCAGAGAAGCAGAGAGTAGAGTGGTGGTTCCCAGGGACTGGAGGGTGGAGGGAATGGAGAGCTATTGGTCAAAGGGTACAAACTTCCAGTTATAAGATGAACAAGTTCTGGGAATCTAATGTGCAGCATGGTGACTATAGATAATGATACTGGGTCATATACTTGAATGTTGCCTAGAGAGTAGACCTTAAATGTTCTCACCACAAAAAAGAAATGGTAACTATGTGATGGGATGGAGGTGTTGGCTAATGCTATGGTGGTAATCAGTTTGCAATGTATAAATTATCAAATCATTTACATATTTGGATTGGAAGAGTTGATAATGTTAAGATTTTAATTCTCTCCAAACTGACTTATAGATTCAATGTAATCACAATCAAAATTCACTTTCATAGAAATTGAAAAATTGACTGTAAAATTCAAATGGATACACAAGGTACTTAGAAAAGCCAAAACAATTTGAAAGAGAAGAACAAAGTTGGAGGACTAATATGACATGATTTCAAATTTATTACATAGCTACACTTATCAAGACAGTGTGGGAATGGTGTAAAGATACATGAATAGATCAATGGAACAGAATGAAGCATCCAGAAAGAGACCCACATATATATCACAACTGATCTTCAATAAAGGTGCAAAGGCAATTCAGTTGAGAGGAGGATAGCTTTTTTAAAAAATAAATGATGCTGAAATGATTGGATAGCCATGTGCAAAAATGAACAAACACAAAACTCTGATCCATACTTTAAATCACATATAAAAATTAATGCAAAATGCATCACAGAACTAAATGTAAGACCTAATTTTGGGGGGGACCTTGGATTAGGTAAAGATTTCTTAGATACAACACCAAAAGCACAATCCGTAACATAAGAAAAAAGATAAATTAGACTTTGTCCAAATTTTAAGTGCCTCATGAAAGACACTGATAAGCAAATAAAAAAATTCATAAAACACATACCTGATAAATAACTTGTGTCCATAATATATAATGAACTTTCAAAACTCAACAATAAGAAAACAATGTTCCCTATAGAAAACTGGGCAAAAGATTTGTACAAACACTTCACCAAAGAAGATATATAGATGTCAAATATTAGATATTATGGAAATGCCAATTAAAACCGCAGTAAGATACAACTATCTTACTATTAGAATGGCTAAAAGTTTTAAAAATGGACAATTCCAAGTGCTGGTGAGAATGCAGATCAACTGGAACTCTCATACATAGCTGGTTAGAATTGAAAATTGTATAGCCACTTTGGAAAAGTTTGGCAGTTTCTAGTAAAGTTAAACATATACTTACCATACAGCCCAGCAATCTGACTCCTAGGTATTTACCCAAGTGAATGAAATCTTATCATCACACAAAATATGGAAACAAATATATAAACATAGCACCTTTATTCATAAACACCAAAACTGGAAACCATCCAAATATCCTTCAGCTGGTGAATGGATAAACTGTGATATATCCATACTATGGAATACTACTCAGAAATACAAAAGGAACAAACTATGGAAAACACAACAGTAGGAATGAGTTTTTTTTTTTTTTTTTTTTTAGGAATGAGTTTTGAATGCTTTATGCTAAGTGAAAGAAGCCAGGCTCAAAAAGCTTCATACTGTATGATTCCATTTATATGACATTCTGGAAAAGGCAAAACTATAGAGACAGAAAAGACATCAGTATTTTCCAGGTCTGAAAGTGGTGGGAAGAAGTAACAATAAAGGGACCTGAGGTAATTTTTGTTCTATATCTTGATTGTGGTGGTGGTTACATGACTGTATGCATTTGTCAAAACTCATAGAATTATTATTATTATTTTGGCCACACCACGTGGCTTACGGGCTTTTTGTTTCCCATCCAGGGATCGAACCCAGGCCCCAGCAGTGAAAGCGCTGGGTCCTAACCACTGGACCGCCAGGGAATTCCCCAAAACTCATAGAACTATTAACATAAATAAACCTCATAGAATCATAAAATATGTTAAAAATGGACTTGAGCATAGGTTATACAAAATATACAGATACACATTTGAATTCGAAATACATGGCCATGTTGTTTGCCTCTCTGAATGAAGAGTTTAATTGTCACATGCTAAGTCATGGGGAATAATTGTAGGTTTTTTCATAAAGCTAATGTCAAGATAAATAGAACATTTTAGGCAATGAAATTTATCGTTAGCTTTTGAAGTGAACTAATAAAAAGAACGGAATCAGCAAATACAATCAGTAATAGAAAAATTATAATCCAGGCATAAGAAAATATGGAGCTGGTTTTGGGTGATATTGCTGGGAACTAAGAAGATGAACTGAGAACTGAAAATGATATTCTCAGAAATGGAAAAGCAGTAGGAACTGTAGAGTGATTAACTTAAAAATGACAGAAAGATTTAAGAAACACTGACAAATGTAAGAAAAGTTGGAAGGTGAGAAGGGTTTCTGATACATGAGGTAATGATTCCAATTTCTGATGTAGTGAGGAGCAAGAGAAACATCTCAATGGAACTTTCTGGGTAGCTAAATGTAGTACTAAAGTACCAGGGAAGAACAGATTGGAGATGTCAAAAACAGAGTCATCAGAATTTCAGGATGGATGAATCCTTGCATGTATATGAAGAAAAGACTGGTGAACAGTAGACAGGGTCCGTAGGGCAACCTCATTTATGGGGATAATGAGGAGAAGGCTGGAAAAAGGGGCAAATAATAAATTGGATGCAAATCAGGATGAAACAGACAGGAAACAAATCAAAACTAGGGGAACATGAGCAAGGTCACTCATAGGAGAGAAACTCAAAGAGATCACAAATGGTCAATAATGAAATGCTCAAACTAGGTATTGGAGAAATGAGAAATAAAAAATGAGATATCACTTTATACCCATAGTTGGCCCAAAAATGAGAAACTCTGGTAATATTAATTGTTGGCAGAAACTCGAGGAAAGCAAGAACCCTGTGCCCTATTGCTGGGAGAGTAGATTAGTGCAGCCAATTCAAGAAGAATACGGTGGTGCTCAAATTCAGTATGAGAATATGCAATGATCAGGCAAACCCTCTCTTCTATATACATCCCTGAGAAATTCTCACACTCTAAGAGAACATCTGTGTAGAAATTTATTGTAGAGTTGTTTGTCTTAAATGGGAGTTAACGAAAACCTAGGTTTCACCACTGGGTGTATGGTTCAATAAGATGTGGTGCTAGCACACTGTGCAATACTATGCAGCAATTTGAACGAATGAAGCCAGATGAGCACTGCAATATGGACAGACCTTAGGGGTGAGTGAAAAAAAAGGAACATAATTAAGAAATGTAGCACAGGGACTTCCCTGGTGGTCCAGTGGTAAAGAATCTGCCTTCCAATGCAGGGGATGCAGGTTCTATCCCTGGTCGGGGAACTAAGATCCCATATGCCCGTGGGGCAACTAAGCCCACGCACCACAACTACTGGGCCTGTGCGCCCTGGACCCCATGTGCCACAACTAGAGAGAGAAAACCCAAACGCCACAACTAGAGAGAAGCCCACGAGCCACAGCTAGAAAGAAGCATGAGCGCAGCAATGAAGAGACTGCAGGCCATAACCAAACATCCTGCATGCCTCAGTGAAGATCCTGTGTGCTGCAACTAAGACCCGACACAGCCAAAAAAATAAGGAAAATAAATAAATTTTATAAATGTATAAACAAAGAGTGTTTAAAAAAAAAGATATGTAGCACAATATAATTTATATATACTAAAAATACATACTTATAAACCAATACTTCAGGCTTTAAGAGAATATCATACAAATTCAAAGATCAAACACATTAGATCTGTTGCCTTTGGGAGGAGGCATAAGGGATGGATATGAGGAATTGGAATAAAAGGGAAGAAAATTTAAAATACCTAATGTACAAGAAAAGAACCTAAGATAAGGGGGTGGGAGTGAAGTAGGAAGAATAAAAAGTCCCTAGGTAAGATAGGGTAGTATGTATGTGATCCATGGTACAGAGATTAGAGACAGCTTTCTTGTCAAAAAGCCAAGCAGGGGCTTCCCTGGTGGCGCAGTGGTTGAGAGTCCGCCTGCCGATGCAGGGGACACGGGTTCGTGCCCCGGTCCGGGAAGATCCCACATGCCGCGGAGCGGCTGGGCCCGTGAGCCATGGCTGCTGAGCCTGCGCGTCCGGAGCCTGTGCTCCGCGACGGGAGAGGCCACAGCAGTGAGAGGCCCGCGTACCAAAAAAAAAAAAAAAAAAAAAAAGCCAAGCAAAGAAGACAATGGGTATCGGCAAGGGTCATACTTGGAGAAAGCATTCAGATATTGGAGGGACTCTGCCAAGTCTCTCCAAGCAACCCCAAACGCTTCGAGCCTTCAAGATAAGATATCTTCAGAGCCTTTCAAAGGCATCAGCCTCTTCTAGAGAAACTGAGATCTATTTCCATGTCCCCCATCTGCCTAGGTCACACTCACTCACCTGAGCAGCTCTGGTGTGGGGTTTCCTCCTCCAACGTCCATGGCCCCTCTCCTTGCTCCAACTTGAAGATGACCTCTGGTTTGGGAACTTGGTACCCTGTTAACAGGACATGATACAGGATTGGGTCCAGCTAATTGGGTTTTGGGGCCTTTCAATGACACTTCCATTTGCTCTTCAGGAAAGTAATCCCATTTCACTGGGAGTAGAGTAATAATCACAGACGTGAAAAAGGACTGAAGAATCTCGGGCAAATCAAGGATGACACCATCACACACTTCAGATGCCCCAGAGCATTCAGCAGCTGAGAATGGAAGCAGCCTCTCTGAGGCCCCTGGCTGTGCTTACCCACTGAGCGCAGGTGGCTATAGTTCTCCAGCGTCACATCCCGGTATAGGAGCCTCTGAGCAGGGTCCAAGTGCTGCCACTCCTCCCTGCTGAAGTCCACAGTCACATCCTTGAATGACACCTGTAACAACACAGTCCTGTTCAAGGTGACATGGTCAGCACTGGAGGATGGAGGGAAGAGGAATAGGAAGTTGTTTTTAATGACTTTTACCATAATGTATCATGTAGGGTTTTCACCCAGCACCCAGTTTTGCATTTTATTTTGTGAGAGAAAAACATATTGAAGTATCTTGACATTCACTGTGTATTAAATTCATTCATTTATTCATTCAGTTCCTCTTTTTTCAAAAATGAGGATTAAAATAGGCTCTCTTTAAGTCCTCGAGTTAACGTAGGAACTACATACAATACATTTACTGGTTGATTATGTGCCAGGCAATGGCAATATAGTATGACTAAAATATAAAACAACTTGGACAACCAACATAAGAAGATACAAAGGGGGCTAAAAGGCATTTGGAAGAAATGTACTGGGGGAAAGGCAAAACAATAAAGCCTTTAAAAGATAACATAGAAAAAACCATAGTAGAGATGAATATCTTCATCATCTTGGATTATGAAAATAATTCTCAAACAGGATGCAAAAAACATTAACCACAAAGAAAAAGATTGATGCCTGTCTCCAATGAAGAGACAGCATTATAAGAGAAAAAAAGAAAAGCCACCAAATAGAAGATATCTGCAACACATTACTGACAAAGGGCTCATATCTAGAGAATGTAAAGAACACTTACAAACCAATTTTTTAAAAAAAGAGAGAGATCACCAGTAGAAAAGTGGGCAAAAGGTCTGAACAGGCATTTTACAAAAGAGGAAATCCAAGGCATTAATAAACACAAAAAGGGCTTAACTTCCTTAGTAACCAGGGAATGCACATTCAAACCATAATGAGTTACCATTACACAGCCCCTAGAATGTCTTCAGTGAAAAACACTGGCAACATCAAGGATGTGGAGAAAAAGTTACCCTTGTACACTGTTGTTGAGAATGTAAATTGGTGCAGCCACTGTGGTAAACAGTTTCTCAAAACACTAAAAACAGAACTACCATATGATTCAGCAATTCCACCCCTGGGTATATATCCAGAGAAAACAAAAATGCTAATTTGAAAAGATACATGCACCCCAATGTTCAAAGCAGCACTATTTACAATAGCCAAGACATGGAAGCAACCTAAATGTCCATCAACAGATGAATGGATAAAGAAGATGTGGTATATATATACAATAGAATACTACTTAGCCATAAAAAGAATGGAATTCTGCCATTTGCAACAACATGGGTGGACTCATAGGGTATTATGCTAAGTGAAATAAGTCAGACGGAGAAAGCCAAATAGTATATGATATCATTTATATGTGGAATCTAAAAAATAAAACAAACTAGTGAATATAACAAAAAACAGGAACAGACTAACAGACATAGAGAACAAACTAGTGGTTACCAGTGGGGAGAGGAAAGGGGCGAGGGGCAAGGTAGGGGTAGGGGATTAAGAGGTACAAACTACTATGTATAAGCATACAAGGATAAGCAACAAGGATATATTGTACAGCACAGGGAATATAGCCAATATTTTATAATAACTATAAATGGAGTATAACCTTTAGAAACTGTGAATCACTATGTTGTACACCTGAAACGTATATAATATTATAAATCAACTATACCTCAATAAAAAAGTTTTTTGAAGAACGGCAATATGAAGTGTTGAAGAGAACATGGCGCAACGAAAACTCTCATATGTCTAATGGAGCTGTAAATTGGACGACCATATTGGAAAACCTTTTGGCTTTACCTGGTAATGTTGAAATATGCATACACAAGGACACAGTGATTCCATCCATGGAAATATGCTCAATTGGAATATGTGCTCATGTGCAACGAGAGGCATGTTCAAGAGTATTTACAGCAGCATTATTCAAAATGTGTGTAATACTTCATGATAAAAAAGTTTAAAATTAACAGTAGTTTTAAAAATCAGTGTTCAGCATAACAGTAACAGTATCTACTATCTGTGGAAAAATATGAAGGATATTTTCTTAGTTGCTTTTATTTGCATAATCTATAAGCATATACCACCCATCCACCCACCCACCCACCAACTAATCAAGACTGGTTTCTTGGTTAGGGAAATCTGTGGGACTGGGGGAAAGAACTATGTGAATGTATTACCTATTAAAAAATTAAGTTTAAAAGTTACCAATGGGCTCAAGATGGAACAGATACAATTCTCCCTATTTCTCCTGCTAAGTAGCTGGACATTATATATATAAAAAAAAAGATAAGAAGACTGTCAGTTGGAGAGAAGGAGGCTAGCTGCCTAGGGACCTTGGAACCTGAGGAGTGACACAGCAGTGATTTCCCTGAGTTTTCTTTTCACCCCATATATCTTGGACTGGGTGGTGGAGAAGCTGGCAACCCAGAATGCCAACTGGTGCAGATAAAAACAGTCCCAAGAAAGCCTGCTATCTCTAGCCAAAGTACCAGGAAAGGGCCAGTGTAACAAGAAAGAAAAATTTAGATAATTACTGCCCTACTCCAGCCAAGCATCACAGAAAAAAGCTGCAGCTCCCATCCCAATTCTCATCAGCAAAGGCTGAGTGGGGAGCCTAGGTTTTCATCCCTGCCTGGGGATAATAAGGCCCCTCCCACACAGTGTCAATTTAGGCTATGTGGGGATCTTGAACTTCTACCCCCAACACAGTAATGAGGTACATTTTTGTCTCCCCACCAGGGTGGTGTCAGAGGTGGTCTGGTGGGGAGCATGACATTCCACCTCCACCCAGGATCAACAAGGTGCTTGTCCCCTCTGGGGTGTCAAAGGAGGCTAATTAGGGACCTGAACTTCCACCTCCACCTGGCAGTAAGACGGAGATTCTCCTTTTTTAGCAGAACAGTGTTGGAGGGAGACTGCTAAACACAAGATTTAAATAATATCCAGAGTCTCAGAGTGCCCAAAATATCCAGGACATAACTGAAAATCAGGCATCATGTGAAGAAGCAAGAAAATCTTAACTGGAATGAGAAAAGACAATCAACTGATACTGACACTGAGATGACACAGATGTTAGAATTATCAAGGATTTTAAAGCAGCCATTATAAAAATGCTTCAGGGATTTCCCTGGTGGCACAGTGGTTAAGACTCCGCACTCCCAATGCAGGGGGCCTGGGTTTGATCCCTGGTCAGGGAACTAGATCTCACATGCATGCCACAACTAAGAGTTCACATGCCACAACTAAGGAGCCTGTGAGCTGCAACAAAGGAGCTCACCTGCTGCAACTAAGACCTGGAGCAACCAAACAAATAAATAAATATTTTTTAAAAAGCCTGGCTATGCATTAGAGTCATCTGGGGAACATTTTGTCCCTGTGCTAACAGTACTTTGTTATTATTTTTTAAAAAATGCTTCAATATACTTAAATGCAAAACCAGAAAGTCTCAGAAAAAAAGATATAAAGAAGAACAGAATGGAAATTTTAGAACTGAAAAATAGAATAACTAAAATTTTAATATCAGTGGAAGAGCTCAACAGCAGAATAGAGAGGACAGAGGAAAGAATTAGAGAACTTGATGACAGAACAATAGAAATGATCCAATCTGAACAACAGAAAGAAAATTGACTGGAAAAAAAATGAGCAGAGCCTCAGGGACCTCTGAGACTATAATAAAAGATCTGGCATTCATGTCATCAGAGTTCCAGAAAGAGAGGAGAAAGTGTGGGGCTGAAAAGTATTTGAAGAAATTATAGCTGAAAATTTCTCAAATTTGGCAAAAGATATCAACTTAGAGTTTCAAGAAGCTGAGCAAACCCCAAAAGGATAAACCAAAGAAATTATACGAAGACACATTATAGTCAAACTTCAGAAAACTAAAGACAAAGAAAAAATCTTGAAATCAGCAAGAGAGAAATGACACCTTACCTATAGGGGAAAAACAATTAAAGTGACAGCAGATTTCTCACCCAAAACCATGGTGGAGCGAAGGAAATGGCACATTTTTCAAGTGCTGAAAGAAAAGAACTGTCAACCCTGAATTCCATATCTGGCAAAATTATCCTTAAGAAATGAAGCAGCCATGGCCATTAAGTACATGAAAAGATGCTTAACATCATTAATTATCTGGGAAATGAAAATCAAAACTACAATGAGATACTACCTCACACTCACTAGGATGGCTAGAATCAAAAAGTCAGATAATAACAAGTGCTGATGAGGATTTGGAGAAATTGGAAACTTCATACAAACACTGCTGGTGGGAATGTAAACTGGTGCAGCTGCTTTAGAAAACAGTCTGGCAGTTCCTCAAATTATTAAACATAGAGTTATCATTTGACCTAGCAATTCCACTCCTAGATGTATATATATACTTGAGATAAATGAAAATATATATCTGCATAGAAACACGTACGCAAACGTTTACAGCAGCATTACTTATAATAGCCAAAAGGTGGAAACAACCCAAATGTACATCAGCTGACAAATGAATAAACAAAATGTGATACACCTGCACAATGGAATATTATTCAGCCACAAAAAGGAAGGAAATACTGATACATGTTACTACATGTACATGCTACACTTCTTCCCTATTTATTTGCCTACCTACATATATATCTGCTGACCTATTATGGACTGGTGACTTCCTACTTTATTCAGTGGGTTATAACATATTACTATCATTATTTCTTTTGCTACTCAAATTGTCCCAGGTTTAGCCAGAGGGAGCTCCTTAAAAACATTATGCTGAGTCAAAGAAGCCAGACAAAAAGATCACATGTTATGTGATTCCATTCATGTGAAATGTCCAGAAGAGTAAAGTCTGTAGAGACAGAAAGCATATTAATGTTTGCTTAGGGTTGGAGGAGGCAGGGAGGTGAGGTGGGGCAGAGTGATGGCTTAGGGGTATGGGGTTTCTTTTTGAGGTGATGAAAATGTTCTAAAATTGATTATAGTGATGGTTGCACATATCCATAAACATACAAAAAACATTGAATTGGACACTTATTTTTTAAAATAAATTTATTTATTTATTTTTACATTTGGCTGTGTTGGGTCTTTGT